TATTAAAATAAATATTATATAATTTATTATAAATTATATAATAATATTGTAATAAATACTATATAATAAATTATATAATCCATATAATATACAGTATAAAAAGTATACCGCGAGAACGCGTAAAAACGTGTCCGTACACCTGTTCCTTTCTCTGCGCGGTGTATCAAAGCACCCTAGGGAACCGCGGAGCTAATTCCATCGAGGATCCGCGATTAATCATGCTTTATTACCATTTTCAATACGAATATTAATTCTTTCGAAGCACAGATCGATAACAGGGCCGCGAGCTTTACCGCGGTTTTCTTTGCCGGCGAGATTCTGTTTGCGAAATAAAATCACTTTCTCCGGGGCGGGAAAACGTTATTATATTCGATAGAATATCATGTTTCGGTAGGAAAATAAATACGTGCAAGATAAATAAGAGGAATAACGGAATTTTCTTGGCTGGGTAGCGCGGTAGCACCTAAGCTTGCTGAGCTATTGATTTTCTTAAAAATGCGCATCGAACTACGACGGGGAAAGAGAGGATCGCCGCGGCATCGGAAATGATATTACGTATTTACAACGGTTAAATTTTCAAGCCGGAAAGTATGATATAAAGGCCTTTAGCGGACGTTAAACGCGACAGTGATATTTTTAAGAGTAATAAAATGCAACACCTGGCGGGATTAATTACGTCCGCGGCAAAATGTTTAAATACCCCGTCACGAACATGTGTTTTATGAACGTTACGTATGACACGGAATTACTCCATTCTTCAGCCCCGAAGAGTTAACAAGCGAAAATATGGAGACATCTATATCATAGCTTTTATTTTGCCGGCGGCGCGCCAACGATTTGTCAGGCCCGATAATTATTTCGATTAGAATCGAGTGCCGGCGCTTCTGGCGGTGTTCGAACCCGTTTCCCCCGGCGTCCTCCGTCTTGGAAGCGACGAACTGGGGAGAATCGAACCGATCTGTTCGAAAAGAAAATCTAATCGATTGCTGTTCGCGATCGATGCAATTTTCTTTGGTGTCGGTCGATAAGCAGACAGCGGATTTTTATGAAAAAATATTTATAAAAAAGCATTTTTTATAGGAGCTATGTACGCATTCGTTTCTTTCGTTTCTTCATTTTAACGAAATGAAATTATAACAACAACATTTTTAAGTGTTTTAAATGTATTCACCGTTTCGCAGTTGATCTACGTATTTTTTCTAGAAACGCGTGAAATAAGGCACTCTATTAATAAGGGTTAATAAGGGTAAATAAGAGTTAATAAAGGTTAATTATCATTGTGATAAAATATCCAAGATTTACCCTTTCCACAGCGTTCCCAACGTTCCCCATCTTCGAAACGGGAAACGCGGAAGAACCGAACCGATTCAACCCTCATTCATCCCTCGTATCAATTCGTCACAATTTTCCACGGATATTGAACAAATAATCTGTCCTATAGAACGTTTTATTAGCTCCGAATAATCCCCCAAAAACATCAACGTTGAAACTACAGTCTCGCCTGGTCTCAGTTTTTCACCGTTAAAGAAAGGAATCTGCGAAATTAATTAATTAATCTGTTCCGTCTTGTTCATTTTTTTACCAGCCCGATCAATTCGACGTCAAAGGACAGATTGTGCTGTAGAAACGAGTGGCGGCCGACGTAATGAACAAAAGTAATGAACTGCCATTTATCGACGCGCGTCTATTAATCGATGAAAGGTATTGTTAACGGTGCGACGACATGACGATGGAACGTGAAACTTGTAAAACGCGCGAGGCGGCCCCAGCATTTTCGGAGCGACAAATGCGAGGGAACCGGACTGATTCGCGAACAAGAGAGAGAGAGAGAGAGAGAGAGAGAGAGAGAGAGAGAGAGAGAGCGCGAGAGTGAGAGCGAGAGAGTGAGAAAGAGAGCGCGAGAGAGTGAGAGAGCGAGAAAGAGAGAGCGAGAGAAAGAGCGAGAAAGAGAGAGCGAGAGAACGCGAGAGAGGGCGAAAAAGCGAGAAAGAGAGCGAGACAGAGAGCGAGAGAGTGAGAGAGCGAGAAAGAGAGAGCGAGAGAACGCGAGAGAGGGCGAAAAAGCGAGAGAAAAAGCGAGAGAGAGAGCGAGAGAGAGCGAGAGAGTGAGAGAGCGAGAGAGAGAGCGAGAGAGAGAGCGAGAGAG